AATTAATAAGATCTTTGACCTCAACTCTACATCCCTACCTGATTGCCAGTACCTTGATTCCCCCCTACATCCAGAAATCTATCAATCTCAATAAAACAAACAAATAAATAAATATAAATAGCACATACTGAGCATTTACAAACAACAGGGGGTATATCTGAGAACTCCAAAGATTCACAACACTCTGACTAAGGAAATTTCATCTCAGCTCAGGTCCTAACGGTTGAGTCCAACATCCCAACAATCTCATTAGCCAGAGAAATCAATATCTTAGCTTCTACTCTGTCATGTACAGTCATAATCTTACATGTTTCAGTAGGATAATGTTTTATTTGCCTCAATCTCTTCTCACCAAAAATCTTCTCAACCAGGAATCAATCCAGTGCACCTTTGTAGTACCCTCTGAAAGACAAATAAAGCTTTCGTTTGTTCGGAGTTTAAAACAATATAACAGCACTCCAGAGGTGTTCTTATCAAAACCCTGTAAAGTTGCAATCTCGTACATCAACCCATTTGCAATAAGGTCAACGTGCCTTTTGACTTTCTAAGTATTTGCTGTATCTGCATGTTAATGTTATGTATTTCATGTGCAAGGATGCCCAAATTCCATTTAACAATTCCTAACAACTGATAGTCATAGCCTGGCATTTGTGTGGCGCGAATGTCATTTGCCACTTGTCAGCCCAAGTCTGGACACTTCCAGATCTTGTTGCATGTGAACATGGACTGCTTCAGTATCTGAGGAGTCATAAATGGTGCTGAACATTGCACAATCCTCGGCAAACATCCCCACTTCTTATGATGGAGGGAAGGTCATTGATGAAGCAGCTGAAGATGGTTGGGCCTAGGACACCACCCTGAGGAACTCCTGCAGAGATGCCCTGGAGCTGAGATCATTGACCTCCCATAACCATGACCATCTTCCTACGTGTCAGGTACGACTCCTACCACCGGAGAGTTTGCTCCCTGATACCCATTGATTCCAGTTTTGCTAGGGCTCCTTGATGCCACACTCAGTCGAATGCAGCCTTGATATCAAGGCTCTCACCTCACCTCTGGAATTCAGCTCTTTTGTTCATGTTTGAACCAAGGCTGTAATGAGATCAGAAGCTGAGTGACCCTGGCGGAACCCAAACTGGGCGTCATTGAGCAGGTTATGCTGAGCAGATGCTACTTGATAGCTGTTGATGATACCTTCCATCACTTTACTATGATTGAGAAGAGACTGATGGGGCAGTAATTGGCCAGGTTGGATTTGTCCTGCTCTTTGTGTACAAGACACACTTGGGCAATTTTCCACAATGTCGGTTCGATACCAGTGTTGTAACTGTACTATAACAACTTGGCTCAGGCAGTGGCAAGTTCTGGAGCACAAGTCTTCAGTTCTATTGCTGGAATGTTGTCAGGGTCCATAGCTTTTGCGATATCCAGTGTCTCCAACCATTTCTTGGTATCACGTGGAGTGAACTGAATTGGCTGAAGACTGGTATCTGTAATGTTGGGGATCACTGGAGCAGGCCGAGATGGATCATCCACTTGGCACTTCTAGCTGAAGATTGCTGCGAAAGCTTCAGCCTTATCTTTTGCACTGATGTGCTGGGCTCTTCCATTATTGAGGATGGGGATATTTGTGGAGCTTCCTCCTCCAGTGAGTTGCAATATTGGCCAGAATATTCTCTTCTCTACTTCAAATAATGCCATGGGAAGTTTTACTTTCACCTAAGGGAGAAGGCAATTTAATGCCTCCTCTCAATGGCAGAACCTGCCTCAGTACAGCACTGAAGAGGCAGCCTAGGTGAATGACTCACTTCTCTGCAGTAAGGCTTGATCACAGAATGTTTTGACTCAGAGGCAATAGTGTCACCAATTGATCAGCTGAATATTTGCCCAGTCTCTCCATCATAGAAGAGGTTAAGGCTGGCAGAAAATCTGATACCTTGGCTCAGCATTGACTTTTGACTATGCTTATGGGAAACACTTTCGGATTTTTTCGACATTAAAGGCACTACATTCTAGGATTATAATTGGAATTTGTGCAACTCATTAAGATACATGGTTTATTTATGTTCTGAATGTAGCATCTTTTGAATGCTTTTGGGACTTTTTTTGTAAAATTCAAATTCTCTGGATCAGAGGGGAGATGAAGACCATTTCCTGTATGCAATGACCTGTGATGATCTGAAATGAACTACCTCAAGTGTTAATGGATGCAGATTCAATTGTAACTTTCGAGAGCAATGTAAACATTAAAAGGAAGAATTTGTTACAGGAATAGAATAAGACATTAGAACCAATTAGATAGCTTTTTCAAAGAATCAACAAGGTCATGGCAATAGATAATCTCCAATTTCAAATCCACACAGCATCCTGCTATGAACATAAATCACCATTCAAATAAACACAAAGAACAGTGGATGCTGAAGATCTGAAATAAAAATAGGAAATGCTGGAGAAACTCGGCAGGTCTGGCAGCATCTGTGCAGAAAGAATTAGAAAGAAGAATTAACACTTGAGACCAATAATGGTACTTCTTCGAAACTGAAGGGGGTTGGAAAATAATGGCAAATATGTTGTTGGCAAAGAAGGTGCAGTGCTCCAGCAAGCTGAAGGAACAACACCTTGTTTTCCACTTAGTTACTTAACAGTCTTTCGGACTGAACATTGTGTTCAACAAATTCAGAGCATAAACACCATCCTCCATTTGTTTGCATCTCCTTCATCCATCCCCAGTGTTTAAAATGCATGGTTTTGCTCTCAGCAAAGCAGACCTACATTCAACTATTAACACCCATCATTAGTACATACTCCATATCTATATCTCTTCTCTACTACCACTAGAACGCCATTTGTCTTTTGCACTGGGTACCCTCATAATCTGTTCAACTCGGTCCTCCGGCCCTTTTGTCAACAACATAAAACAATCACTTTCCAACTCCTTTCAGTTCTAAAGAAGAGTTACACTGGACTTGAAATGTTAACTTTGTTTCTCTCTCCACAGATGCTGCCAGACCTGCTGAGATCATCCTGACTTTCTGTTTTTATTATCTATCACAATTCCATCATTGTCAAAGGATCAAAAAAACTGCATATTCCCTGTCTAACAGTACTGAAGTGGATCCAGACCACAAGAAATGCATTGGCTCCAAGTGAAATCCTATAACCAGCTTCCTGAGGTAACTTGGGATGGCAAGGAATTCCATGAACAGCCTAATTCATATCAAGAGAGTCTTCCTTTTTCTAAAAACACGAACAACGGACTGAATGGTTTCCTCCTTTGAATCAATGTTGGTGTCACCATTATTTACAACATATATTCATGACTTGTATGAGGAACGGGAATGTACTATTGACAAATTTGTGGATGAAACAAAATAGGTGACAATGAAAATGGTAAGAATGACACAGAGTCTATAGAGGTTTGAGTCGGTGGGCAAAAAATTGACATAATATAATGTGGGTTATGCATTTTGGCAGGAGGGATAAAACAACTGTATATTACTTAATTTGTGAAAGGCTGCAGAAAGTTTCAGCACAGAGGCATTTGGGGGGTCCTTCTGTATGAATTACAAAAGGCTTGCATCAGAATTCGGAGGATAATATGAAAGGCAAATGGAACATTAGAATCATAGAATGCTGACAATGTGGAAAGAGGCCATTCAGCCCATCCAATGTCTGCACTGACCCTCTGAAGAGCATTTCACTCAGACCCACTCCCATGGCCAATCCACCTAACCTGCACATCTTTGGACTGTGGGAGGTAACCAGAGCACCCAGAGAAAACCCACAGGGAGAATGTGCAAACTCCACACAAACAAGGCCAGAATCGAACCAGGTTTGTGGCCTTGAGGTAGCAGTGCTAAATAGGAATAGATTGGATCTGGAGAGGTTGTTTCTCCTTTTGGGAGAGACTACCATCAGAGGGCATAATCTCAAAGGTAGGGGTTGCCCATTTAAGGCAGAGATGAGAAGGAGTTTCTCAGAGGAGTGTGAATTCTTTACCACAGAGGGTTGTCAAGGTTGGATTGTTAAGTTTATCCAAGCTAAAATAGAGAGACATTTTGGGCCAGCAAGAGAATCAAGCACTATGTAGAAAAGGGAAAGAAGTGGAGTTCAGGATTATCTGATCAGCAATGATCTAATTGAATGGTTCAGTAGATCGATGGACCAAACAGCATCTTACATCTTATCCTCTTATCTTATGGTTGGTGGGGCCCTTATAGAACGTTTTGGCACTTGCTGTGAACATTCGGAGTGGCCCATTGACGTTAATCGAAAGAAAAACGAGCAAACGAAAAGGCTGAGCTGAAAGGGTAATACAATTCCCAGTGCAGTGGAATGCTCACAGACTGTACATGGAAAGCGCAGGAAGATGTTATGTCATATGGTGAATCAGTTCTGTTACTTCAGCAGTTTGTAATCTGACGTCAGAGTTTAAGGCTGTGAAAATGCATCACTTGTAAACACATTGAGGAAATGTGGAAAAAGAAACCTCTTTTCCCCCACGTACTACTGATGTCAGAGGAGACACAGACAAGAGATTTTTTTGGGACTCCTGCCAAATTCTGACAAGCTATTGGTTCCATTAGTCTGATAAAGGATGGGGCAAAGAAAGAAAGACAGGCTGCAACGATTTTAATCTGACCTTTATTGCCAACAGTCTGTTTTCATAATGTTTTGTGTGTGTGTGTTGGGGGGTTGAAGATAAAGAAAGGTTTGCCTTTTGCTTTACAACTTTAAAGAAATAATAGCAGATTTGATTTTACAATTCATTTCTTACGTTAACAGTTTGGTCTGTGGGTTAGCTGAAAAAAAAATCATTGTGGTGGTTGCATAGTAGTGAATGCAACATTAATGACTTGGGTAGAGAGAGAGAGAAAAATGAGGTTTTGCTGGGAACAGGAAGCAGTGGGCTGGAGTTTGTCAGAGCGTGCGTCAGCTTCGCAACAAGCGCTTTTTTTTTCCGCTGGGTGGCGAGAGAAAGGAGAGTGAGCCCGGCAGCGGGGGGGGGGAAGAAACGACTGAGTCACTTCACTGGGAGCCAGTCAGTGACGTAGCTCAAGCTGCCCCTCCGTCCCCTCCAGTCCGCTCGGAGCCACCGGAGCAGTAGCAGCTCCGCGCCGCCTGCTCCCTTGTCACTCGCTCCTCAGCAGCGGCAGCAACTCCGCCGCCGCCACCACCACCACCACTAAACCAGCCACTACCACCACTCACCCGCCCCCCACCACCACCACAGCGACTGGAGAGCAACCAGCTGCCGCTTCTCAACACCTCCAGTGTCTCCCCTAGTCAGGAATCCTACACCAGCTCCCCACACAGCTCACTCACTCCTCCAGTTACCCTCATCTGCCCAACATGGGAATATAACGATCAGCTTTTATTTTAATTCAAAAAAAAGAGGAATTTCGACTCAATTTTTTTTCTAGTCCCTGCCCTCAATTCTCCTTCAAATTAATGGTGATCATCAAACCCTGAGAATTCTCAAGAGGTAAGTTTTCTTTTTTCTCTCTCTCGTTATGTTATAAGATTTCACAGAATTTCTGCTATGTAATTTGCCTGGCGGAGTTAGATAGTGTACTTCCATGGTATGTATTATAGCGCTACTTGTCAGATAGGGTGTTACAGTGTCGCTTCAATGCGAAGTAGCTGTGTAATGAATGTATATTTATATCTTTTAAATGCCTATTTATCTGTATAAAATATATATTTATTTGTGTCTGGTTAAGGCTGAATGTAATTTTGTTCTTGTTCCAAAAAGTGCTTATTCAGTAGGTTCAGACTGTTCCTGCGAGTTGCTAGACAGAAAAAATATGTTGCCGTAGTAACCTGGAGTACTAGGATGTCTGAGTTTATGCTCAGTTGAAGTACTGCAGAGTGTAGCAGAGTCAAATGCACATATGTATACCCACACTCACTATGAGCAGATTTCATTTTGTACAGACGCTGAGCAGATTTTAGTTTTCCTTTTTTTATGGAAAAATTTTGTCACTAACTTTTTGTGTCTAATGTGGTATACATTTCCATTTTAAAATTTATGCCTCTTAAACACAATGATAAACACAAAATGATACAACAAGTTAAAATTATGAAGGAACAAACTGAAAGAAGGGGTTAGATCACACTTTCAATATTGGTGGAAACATTGTAAATCTCAGGAATTTATGTGTTCTTGTAAATTCAGATATGCCATAATAAGCTGCCTTGTCTCTTTAAGATAATTTTCAGCAAATAGTGGTGATCTTCTGTTTTTCAATATACTGTGATCATTTTTAAGTAATATCTTCACAGACATGTTTCTGATTGTGTAAGTTTTGTTTTATCTGCCTGTGTAATGCAGAGGTATTTGAAAGGTTGACTTCAAAGGAGGTTAATTAAGCTGCCTCAGTCAACAGTGATGAGAGATAATGATCAGTCTTGAAGAGGCTAAGTTCCATGCTGTGTCTGCTCTTATAACTGAATCAGTTCCACTGTGCAAATTAACAAATCACTGTGAATTTTTCTCTCTTGTGTTCTATGTAGCAGGTTGGCTGTCTGTTCCTTCCCTCAGGAATGCTGTGCACATTTTTTAAATTTGTTTTTTTCCCAACTCCTTAATCCGCATTCTCCTCCCAGTCTCACTAAATTCCAAAAGGGTGAGGGACATTTATTTGCACATAACTTTCAGCAAAAAATAGTTTCAACAGCTTGTTTTTAAAATGTGGAGTTATGTAAAAATAAACATGTTAACAGCATTTTGCTTTTCTGATGAGGTGAAGAATATTTAGACTTCAAATTAGAAAACGAGAGAAATGAGGAGGATGAGCAGAGAGTTGGTTGAAGAAGTGGATTTTAAGGATGATTGGCAAAAGGTTTTAGGAGGTGAATTCCAGAAAATGGGAGTAAGTTTTCATAGTCTGTGTTACTGACAGGGGAGATAGAGTTAAATCCACAGTTGACTAGAGTGGAACCGACAGAGTGAGAACTGAATATGACCTAATCAGTGACTTTCTTTAAAACAGAAAAGTTTGAGAATATAAGCCGATACTGATCCTTTCACTGTGAAATAACGTCAAAGCCTTAAATGTGCAAGGGCCTTGCCAATAAGTTAGTAAGCCTTCGCCTAGATTAATTGACATTGCTGAAAGTTCATGTTTCTTGTGGCTTGAGATTCCGGGAAATAAAAATTTAAAGGGTCCCAAGAATTTCAGTTCTCCAGAATCTTCTTTCTGGGCATCTCTTTATGTCAGAATAAATATTTTAGCTGAGTTTGGACACACAAATGTTTTTCTGCTACACTCAGCCTTGCAATCAATGGAAGATGTTTTCCTTGTTTTTGTTTTACAAGTGTCACCTGTACATCTAAAGACCTGTTGAAGGCCTAGTAGAGATTCCCCATGACAACTGTTTTGAAGCCCATAAAAAATTAGGACTGGGTATCACTGGAATTATGTTACAATTTTCATCCCATCATTACCCACTTACAATACTCCCCCGTTAAATGCTTCTGCCTCTTCTTCCTTTTAAGGCCCTCAATAAAATTCATTTCTTTGTGTAAACTTCTGATCATCCATCCTAATAATCTCATCCTTTGATGCAGCATCTTTTCTGTTTCTTGTGCTTTCTTGTGCACCCAGTGCTTTTCTCATTTTCAAGTTACTGAAGCTTTTATCCTTTTTCTGTTGTGCCATGCCAGTGGCATTTCACCAGTGTGAGAGATTGACTTCAGAACTTATGACTTCAGAAGCAGCCTTTCTAAATATAGCAAAATAAGTGAGCTGGGAAAGTATTTGCCTTTAAATTTAGGGCAGTGGGAGCTTAGTATAGTTTGTAAGATGTGTTTGTGGCACCTTGTGAGGAACAGCTGTAACTACAGTTTGGCCTGACTAAATAATTAATCAGCAGTAGAGCATGATAGTTATTAATCCCAGGAGGACCATTCAATCTGTTTCAGTAGAAACACTGTGCATTCTTTAAACACCTTCCAACCCATGTTCTGTTCTTATTTTCATCTAGCCCCTTCCCACTTCTTGAATTCCCCCTCCTGAGTTCTTTCCATTTGGTATTTTTTGTTTGCAAATTGCTTTTTTATATTCTAAATTTGGCAATTTTTTTTCCTCCTGTTTGGCGCACACAGCTGGAGGGAGGAGGTTAGAAAGGAACTGAAGTCTCGTGCTGGTTGGTTCAGAGCCAGCGGACTTAACAAGAGTCATTTTGTTGTGCAGTAGAAATGAAAATGTGCAGTTCTTTTGGCAGAGATGGAGGGCAAGAAATTGCTGACCGTAACAATAGGAGGTGCAACATAAAGTTTCCTTTAATTGGCTTTCACATTCTCTTCTGTTGCTAAGTGTGTCACTTTTCTGAAAGGAACATTGCCCTGTAAGATAAGCCATTGGCTATTTACTGTAAGATCTTCTCACATTTTCAGAAGGTTGTTGTAAGGACACTGTAGCTTAACAATATACAATTTGTTTCCATTTTATATACTGTACATTCTTGAATAATGATCCATCATGTGTAAAAGTTAATCCATGACTTTTAGCCAAAATGGTTAAATTCTTTATACTTAATACCTGCTTGCCACTGAAGTCTGACTCTTCCTGGTACATACCTCCTTGATAGGATCACCCTCCAAGGCTCTGCATGTACTTTTAGTTCCTTTGGTGCTACCTTTGAGGCAGGATTGGCAGGAACAGCCTCTGTCCTGACAATTCTGATGGTGAGGGGATAAGAGAAGGTGGATTTCAAAAACAAAAACAGAAATTGCTGGGAAGGCTCAGCAGGTCTGGCAGCATCTGTAAAGAGAAATCAGAGTTAACATTTGGGGTGCAGTGACCCCAAACTGGAAACGTTTTCCCTCCACAGATGCTGCCGGACCTACTGAGCCTTTCCAGCAATTTCTGGCTTTTTTTGTTTCTAATTTCCACCATTCGTAGTCCTTTCAGTTTTTAAGGTGGATTTCAAATTCTTCAAAATTGCAATTTGCAAAATTTATTCCACTCCCACCCAACCCCTCCCCACCATTGCTTTTTGGTTAGCAAATTAGTCTTATCGTGTAAAACATGAGTTTCTATTTAGTGTTCACTAGTTGTTAATGATTTGTTACAGTGACGAAATAGGAATATTATATAGATAAATGGTATTGTGATGCAGTGGCTACCTCTCAGGACTACTAACTCAAACAGTGATTTGAAATCCCATAATTCAATATTATTTTTAAAAATCTGGAATCAATAAAAGCCTCAAACACAACTGTTTTTGCTAATATTCATTTGGGGAAAGAAGCTTGGAGGCCTTGCCTGACCATGTGATTCCCATCCCATACTAATGTGGCCTATTCAGCTGGTCACCCACAAAGCCAACATTCTGAGAACAAGTAAGGATAATTTGCCAGTGGAAATGGCTCAGTGTGTGAGAGGTGCAACAATAGTGTTCCAATACCCAAATAAAACATTGTGTAAAACAAGTATATCTGGTCATGAGAGTGCTTCCTATTCACCAAGTGGACTGCAACGCTGTAAGTTGTATTGGGTGACACTTCTGACTCCTGACATTCCAAAACTTAGCTAAGGAGCTTCATTAAGATTAGAGAAAATCAGAAATGTGAATCCAAAATAAAAACATGATTTTCCGTAATCAGTTGCTTTGCTACATTTTCACATTTGATGTCAATTCCAATTGACCCAATAGACCCAATTCCACTTTAAATTCTATTTTCCACCCCCTCTGCCCCAGTCATGTTAGCTCAAAGTCAAAGAAACTAGTGTGGTACAAGACAGCAATGGGTTGCTCTCTTAGTAGGCTTGCTGTGGCTTATGATTTTGCAACTCGACGGAAAATGTCTAAAGTCCATAAGACGGTGCAATAGTTGCCTCAAGCCTTCCAAGACATGCTCCTGAATGGCAACAGGAGCAAGAATCCTGACTTTGTACCTCCTCTCACAAGTACAGATGTGTTAAGCGATGGCCTATTTTACTTTGCATTTTCCATTCCATTGTTGACCCGATTAGAGACAGAGAGACTCAATGCAGACTACCAATTTGAATTTCAAGTCTTTTCTGCTTTGTATCACTCAGCAATGTGTAGATCCATTCAGAGAATTTTGATATTTTTTAATTAAGATGAGGCACTTATATTGTGCATCATTTGCAGTTTTATTAAAGCCACAGTAAATTTCCCAACCACTTCAGGTTTATGGTTCTGTAAAGGGGTTTACTGTATTAGAACGTATTGCCCTTGGCATACTGTGTTTGCAGGCTGCTGTGCTTTTTCCATTGTTGTTTTTAATGAAAAATGCATGCTAGGTGGTTTAAAGGCAGGTGATTTATGAAGCTATTTGAAGGTGGTAAACTATTAAATTAATCATTGGACATATAGGTTTATTTCATCTCGAGCGTTTTGGTCCCCTTTTTTGTTAAAACAAGATTGGCATTTGTTTTTAAATGTTTTAATGCAGGTGCATGGTGTATAAACTAGCTTTTCTTTGCCTGGAGGATTTCCATTCGGAGAACC